GCGAGAGCAACGGGAGATCGTGGGCGGGCGTAAGATGGGGAAGGGATCGGGTGTTCTGCCTAGGCGAGCCTTTCTAAAAGTGGTTATAACCAATGGTAGTGGTGGGTAATTAAAGTGTTAACTGCGTTTGATGCTAGACGATTTGGACCATTAGATCAACGTGTTTTGATGGTTGAGATGATTTGGTTCTCCGCCCTTTCGTGCTTTTATAAAGGCAGTAGAAAAAACACTCGTCTGTCAACGGTCATAAGAAAGAGAAAAACCCGCCACCCTTTTGCGGAGACGCAAAGCGGTAGTGAACCAGCAGGACAGTCGCCATTATAGGCACAGTACCTGCCCCGGCCACGTCGTCCTCCCAGCCTACACTGGTACGCCCCGCGCCCCCTCCCGCTCCCGTAATCTCTAACTTCCCCCGCTCCCCCTCCCCCTGTTTTTCTTCTCTCTGCGAAAATCCAATAAGAAATCTTAAAGTTGTAGTTTCTTTTTTTTCGCGTGTGCAATCGATTCATATTTTCCTGTCCGAGATGCTTGAATCTGTCTGGTTTCTTTTTTAAAAGGATGAACCTCAGAATCCCTGCAGTTAGGGTTCTTGTATGCCTCTGAACCACTGCACCCAATTTGTGATTCCTTTGCTTTTGAAGTTACTTTTAGGGTTTTGAAGGTTTGTTTGGTGGCTAGACATAAATTCTTGCTCATAGACTTTCGATTTGAGATGGTTCTCTAAAAGTATACCGCGGATCTTAGTGCTCAGGCACATTTAGGGTTCTTGCCCTTTTTTCATTTCAAAAAGAGGTCGTTTTTACCGAACAATAATCTGTTATTATTTTGATTTTCTCCTTTTGCTCTTTTTCCATTGCAAAAAGAGGGTTTATTTTTCGCCTTTTCTATTTTATTTTATTCTTCTGGGGATGGAGAAAGTAATTATTTAGAATGCCCTCAATCGAACCTGTGAACCTCTTTTTAACTACTGTACAATTCAGCTTCTGTGCTGCTATACCTGCCTGGTATTCCCCTTCAGCCTTCACTGACCTGCTTGTGTTCTCCCTTTTACAGATCAGCTCGGGACCATTGGTGTAGGCGTGTAGCCAACAAATTGTTGCTGGTTCTCCATTTCCTCAGGTGGTTCTTCTCTTTGTGTGTGTGATTGCCCTGATGCTGATTGTTTTGTGGTTGTCTTCCTCACAATTGACGGCCATGGAAAATGGTCGGCCTCTAGGATTTGCGTTTCAAGAATCACATGCTAACTTGTAACCCTAATAACTTATATATCTGGTGTTTTTGTTCGGGTTATTTCCTCTGGGAATTGTTCTGATAGATGTTGATGTCTTAGTGATTGTTGTCAGCATTCTTCTATTTCTAGAAGAGGTAAAATAAAGAAGCACACACTGTTATCCTTATTCCTGTTCTACTAGGTAAATATGTAAGTTCTAGGTAGTATTCCTTTTAGATATAGTTCCTCCTTTTAGATTGTCAAATGCTATTCCTATTTTTTCTGGAATTCTTGTCCGGTGAGGAAAATAGCGCCTCATCACTCTTTGCTGAATTTGCATAAGCTGGTACTCTCACTATTTGAAAATATAGGACGCATATGGGTGCTCCTAACATATTGATCTCTTTCTTGCAGATCAGTTTAGTGCATATCTTATGCTATAGACAACTTGCACATTGAACAATTTAGAGAGTACTTTGACTTCACACATGATTTGGATTAGCTAAGTAATATTTAATTAGTAGTTATGCAGATGCTGTCGCTTTTACTTTGTGCCCAGTATGTCGTCTGGAGGTGCTATGGTTGATACTTCGTTTATTAGCTGGCATGTAATGCTGTAATATTTGACCCTTAGTGGTGTGGATTGATGTAAGTCAGTCTGGTACTGAACCTGGTTTTGTGAAATCGGAGGGGGGAAGCCTCTCTTTTGCTAAAAAAAGTAATATTTAATTTTCCTTTTACATTTCAGAAATAAAAAAAGAATGGTTTGAGGAAACTATTTCGTTTTTGTGAATAAATAAGTGAGTACACCTTAGGTGGGACCCAAATGACCTTTATTATGGGGACACATAAGTGACCTTCTCTTTCAATATCATCATCCATCATAACTAGTACTCCAGTTGTTATTATTGCACAACATAAACTCATAGTGAAGAAATTTTGTGTGGATGAAGAAAGTATACAGTACAATATAATTGAAGTGATATATACTCATTAAATTTCTTCAGTGGAATAACCAATAATGCAACTTAAGAGTAAAAATTGTACACTGACTTCCTAGTTCCAACCCCCGATTCTGATTTTGGCCATCTTGGTGGACATAACCCAAATGGATCTATATCCTGATTTTTTTCCACAGACTATATGGCTGAGACAGGAGATGCAAGTCGCTTGCCAACATCCCTTGATGTGCTGGCTTCAGATGTTCACTCCAGGCTGGAGTTCCACAGGTATGCCTTCATGGACTGTGTTGGCATAAAAAATGCGCTTCACTGTGTCATCGAAGAAAGGGAAAATCTCCAGCAACGACAGAATGGTAAATGCTGTTGTGTTCTTCTTAAGATCTTCATATACTTTGCACCGAATAGTGCTCGTTTAGATCAGAAATCTGTTGTCTTTGGTATTGTTACTTCATAAGGACAAGGTCATCATTTGATATTATACTTCCTGAGAAGATCATGTCGTAAGAGATAGATTTTGGTGGCATAAAAAAATAGGATAATCTGAAAAGCGAGAGTTCACTTTCTCCGAACTATAGAAATACTACAGATACTTCACACTTTTTCTGGTCAGTCAAGAATACATAATAAACCTGACAAGCTAAACTTTACGCTCTATCCTTTTTGGTATTGTGACCAGCGATTGACCAACTGGTTGCTGAAAAGGACAGCCTCACTAAAAAGAATGAAGAGCTGGCAGCAGAGCTTGAATCTCTGAAGGAACAGCTCCAAGCAAGGGAATCGAGCGATCAACAGCAGGGAAGTGGTTTTCAGCAGAGCCACTCTGGAATGGTAAGTAGTATTTTGTAGAGCAATTGTAAATCATTGTTAAATGCTAATCTTTGCTGCTTTGGACTAACATAATGACATGAATAATTTGGTGCATGGACGCTGGAGCCTATGGAAAATAGTTCTGCTTACCTAACGCACCTTAATGTTTACTTGTCTGCAAAGCCACCATTGTTCAGATTTTGGTGGGCAGTTTAATATTCTCCTAATTGGAGTCTTCTGTTCTTCATTTTATTAGCTCAAATGATCTTGGAAGATTTTTTTTGTGCAGTAGTGTCTCTGGAACATTTGTATTCATCAGGTCATTCACTACTAAACTAGTATAGTGATATGGAATCAGTGTATTATCTTAGAGACTTACCAGAGTTCAAAATTTCCCACCTTTTTGGTGTCTTTATTTTCAGTATCATGTAATGCCCGGACGAATCTTTATGCACCCAAATTTCTAACCCAGTTCTGCATTTTTTGTAAACAGAGCCTTTTCTATCTTCTATTTATTTATTTCCTGTGTTACCTGCTTAATTAAAAATTTCGTGTGAAAGCAGGCACACCCAAGATCAATGCCGAAAAGGAAACGGCAATCTGGAGATGAAGATGTTGATGAGCATGAGCTTATGGAAGATCTTTCCGTTATAGATAATCCTGATCAAGGTTTAAACACTGAGCTTGAGGCTACTAGAAAGGAAATTTCTGATATCCACTCTAAGCTGATTGAGGTTCGGTTGTTCTCTGTTGATATCAGATACAGCAAACATCCCATCACACTATGTGAAATCTTATATATAAAGAAAGTTGATACAAGAAGTTTGTATTCCAGGGGTTCACTGATCTTAGTACTACTGGAGGAAGGAATATCGCCCTAAAAAACATAGGGCAATTGGATGACAGGCCATTCCTGGCGGCATGCCGTAAGAAGCTGCCTGCCGAAGAAGCAAGAGAAAAAGCTAAAGAAGTACACCGTGTTTGGCAGGGGCATATACAGAACCCAGAGTGGAATCCCTTCAAGACTGTCACAGTTGAAGGTATCCCAAAGGTAGCAGTTAAACCATCTTGTCTGAATATCTAAGTTCTTCCACAGTCATAACATGCGGTCTATCAGTTGATTCGAATGACAGATACTGAACTTACACTGCTACTTGATTATGTGATTAGGAGATTATTGATGTCAATGATGACAAGCTGCAAGGGCTATGTGCTGCATGGGGTGAAGGGGTGCACAAGGCTGTGGTGAGTTGTTTGGTAGAAATTCAAGAAAGTGGCAGGCTGGGAGATAGAAACATTGTGCCCGAGGTCTGGAATTACAAGTGCAAGAGAAAAGCCACTCACAGTGAGAGCATCGAGTACTTGTTCGGTCAAGTGAAGCGTCTGAGTGACGCGAAATCCAGAACCCGCAGGTATGACTGCATGAGCTTAACATGTTGAAAATTCTTCTGCCTCTTAAAGATTGTTTACTGTGATTGGAGTCATGTTTTCAGCAGACTACAATAGAACCAACAACTCTGCTCCTATAAATCTTTAGTCAGCTGGTGCAATGCATTTCATTAGCCTTCTTAAATGCATAATAGTTGCATCGGAAGACATGATTAGACTAAAAAAAAAATACTTTTTGGGATCTATGCAGCGCAAGGTGACCTTGTAGGGGTGTGGTGGTGCAACAGGATGATGACCAACAGGATGATGAAACTATTATGAGTTCCTAGACCTCGAGAATCGAGACAGAAAAAGAGGAACTCAACTGACATTTATATGCACAATAAAACAATGTCAATTGAAATTACGAAATATGTATTTGGCAACCGTGTGACAGATTGCGAAACTGCCACACGCATCCAGCGCCGTCAGTTCCCTTTCGATCTCCTTCCTTTCCCGCACGACCTCCCGATTTCTTTCCCTGATTTCCTTTCTAATTTTCGTAATCGTCAATTATGGCCCCACGTGCCTTTTTGATTTTTGGCAAAAATAATGCTTGGACTAGGATTTGATCTCTGGTTTGCAGGTAATCAACAAAGGGAACTTACCACCTTATCTATGACACTCATTGTTGAACAAGCTAAGGGAAATACTGTTTTTGACATGTTTTTGCCTTTAATATGTTAGCACTGGAAAACTTTTTGTTTCAAGCATCGTGGTAACTTTGATCATTGGGAATAAATTTGTTGAACCCGCCCCGGGTAATTTCTGTAAATAGCACGATAACATTCACGCCATTGACCTGATAATTTAGATACAAACATCATGATAACTTTAACCATTGGGGAAGACAAATGTGAAAAGATATCCGATAATTTATGTGTAAATAGATGGTAATATACGCAGCGCACATATGATAACTGAGGTAGAAACACCATGGTAACTTTGACCGTAGGGATTTTTTTTTTTGAAAAGATACTTCGGTATCTTCTGTGTAAATAGCACGGTAGTATATCTCCCTCCCTTGGCATTTTTATGTGCATATAGCATGAAAACATATGCACTGTGATAACTAAACA